ACATCGCAGTTCACATTGATCTTCGAGTCTAGGTTTCGGCGAAAATACCAGATTTCCACCGCTCATTATCTCAGCTAGGCGGCACGTAGGGACATCGCGGTTGTTTTATATGCAACAAGGTAAGACAGCTAATCAATAATACTGCAAAAGGATTGTCAAAATAAAAACGCGGAAAGTTTATTAATTTCGACTAATACTGCCAGCATTGGTTTCAGCATTTTACCCTTGTACGCTCTCCCTTCTTTATCTGCCTCTTGATGTAACGTATCGCCACTGCCAGTGGCATGTGTTGGGCAGGTTTTGCCTGCGTTAATTGTTACAGTGCAGCTCTCTATTGCCAATTTCAGCCTGTAGGGCGCCTGGTAGCGTAAATGGATGAGTGCTTACCTATTCTGCTCTTGGCAAATAGTTTGTTGCCTACTACGTACGATGAGAGCTTCCATCTTTACATCTGAATACACTTAACGTATGCGCGCAATCTCGTGGCCCAACTTTCATAACGATCCCAACGAACATTCCTTTGAGAAGGTTCCTGATACCATCCCTGTGCATTCCACTGTTTCGGCGTGTATGTGAACACATTTGGGACTAACAGGATTTACTAGAATCCCACCACTCCACCACAGAGTCACCGCAGTAGACGTTAGATGAGCGCTGTCGCTCCGCGGCACTTGTTGAATATAAGAAATCTATTTCACAAAAGTATGTATTTAATCATAAATCACCTGTGCATGCAGGGAGCTGCAAAATTGCTGCTCGAGACTGGGAAACATCCTGGCGAACTAAAGGACGAGGTGTGCTCGCCAGGAGGCACCACCATCGCGGCCATACACCAGCTGGAGCGGGCAGGACTACGAGCTGCACTTATGGATGCCGTCGAGACATCAACACTAAAATCGCGAGAGATAGGCGGGCACTATTAGGAGCGGTAATGTTGCTAAGGTGATTGTAGGTGTGGTTCTAATATAGTTAATTATGATCTGTGGAGAAAAATAGTGAATATGGTGTCGGCACACGATGTAGCAATAAACTTGCACTTGTGGTAGTCTTTATCGTGTCACTTACGCATCTCAAAGCGCCAGCGTTGAGAATTGGTGCTCCATCACTTTTGTTGTGTAATGTTGTTGAACACAATGATGGATAAAGTGCCATCCAAATGCAAGCTGACACCGTTTATTTTGTGGTTATGGTTGTATCAAGATAATTTGAGGCGAATCTCTCTTCCCCCACCCCATATTCAAGCAAAATACTCATTTAGCCTGTTAGTCAGTAATATCTAATAAATGTTCTAGTGGCAATTCTTGTGCAATACGTACAGACAAGTTAAACAAAAATTCCCAACCAGAATAAAGTTCCTTTTATTACGCCTTTAATTTGGTTTGCCATAAGGTGCTAGATCTGTTTTGTAAGACTAAGCAAGGGAATCATAACCAGTTAAAAAAAATTCCATGGTTAATTTCATGGTTATGCAAGAATATGCACCTTTGAAATTTTACTTGCCGTTTTGTTGCATTTACCCTAGATATGTACTGTTTAAAAAATAAAGCCAATGAGCAGAAAACGAAATAGGAAGGTCCTGTAAAGACAGACATTTATTTTTCTCTTGAAAAATATAAATAAAGCTGTGATGAAATTATTAAAATTGCGATAGCCTCCTATGAATTGTAAGTGACTTATCTATCGCACAGACGGTACACACTTATATAACAATATATCGTACAATGTGTCACAATGAACAACTGCTACATTTTACATGCTTTTCTCACTCGCGTACTAACAGCACACAAGTTGACATTACAAGGATTTATACTATTATAGTGATTTAATATAACAATGATTCACATTGCTCTGGCCTACATGTGAAGAACCAAAATATTCTCTTGGTGTGATTACAATGCAATTGTATATTATTACAAACTTAAATGTGACTGTACTAGAGTTATCAGCACAGGTGGAGAAACTGAAAATAATTGCTAAATGTCAATCAGCACAATCGCTTTTTCTGACTTGGTAAACTGCACACTTTGATATAAAATCTCGACAGACATAAACAGCCCCTGTATTTATAACAGACAGCAATTTTATTTTACATTCACAAGACAAAATGCAGAGCCAAATACCAACTGGAATACATTAAATATTCTGCGGGGCACAGTACAAACAGATAATCATGCAAGTTTTTTACAATCACAATAGTGGCATATAGACCAAAATACATTCATTCATTTCCCAACTGTGTCTCTGTTAACTGTACATGACTTGCATCTAGTGGATGTGGAATTTCGAGACTCACGTTATATCATCATTTTCAGTTGTGGTTCTTGAGAAAAAAACTCTTGGTAAAACTAGAAAGGGCAGTTGTCGCCAACTACATGTATCCCCCGTGTTCTCCCCAAATGCTGTAAGTATACCAAGTTGGCTAGCGCTAGGTCAATTAGGGGCCGAGTTATAGAGCGGAAGGGAAATATGATCAAGGTCAAATAAAGGTCGTAGTGACCTGGTTTTGGTACGGACACACCTTCTCCCCAAGATGTGTAAGTATAGCAAGTTTGGTAGGCGCTAGGTCAATTAGGGGCCGAGTTATAGAGCGGAAGAAAATATGATCAAGGTAAGGTCAAATAAAGGTCGTAGTGACCTGGTTTTGGTAGCGCTAGCCGTCAATTAGGGGCCGATTAGAGAGCGCGAAGAGAAAATATGATCAAGGTCAAATAAAGGTCGCCATGACCTGGTTTTGGTACGCTGCTCACCTTCTCCCCAAGATGTGTAAGATACCAAGTTTGGTAGCGCTAGGTCAATTAGGGGCCCGAGTTATAGAGCGAAGGGAAATATGATCAAGGTCAAATAAAGGTCGCAAGGACCTGGTTTTGGTACCTGCACACCCCCTTCCCAAGATGTGTAAGTATACCAAGCTTTCTGTAGCGCTAGGTCAATTAGGGGTCCGAGTTAGAGAGCGGAAGGAAAATATGATCAAGGTCAAATAAAGGTCGCCATGACCTGGTTTTGGTACGCTGCTCACCTTCTCAAAGATCCACCCCACAATGTGCAAGTATACCAAGTTTGGTAGCGCTAGGTCAATTAGGGGTCCGAGTTAGAGAGCGGAAGGGAAATATGATCAAGGACAACGTAAAGGTCAAATAAAGGTCGCAGTGACCTGGTTTTGGTACGCTGCTCACCTTCTCAAAGATCCACCCCACAATGTGCAAGTATACCAAGTTTGGTAGCGCTAGGTCAATTAGGGGTCCGAGTTAGAGAGCGGAAGGGAAATATGATCAAGGACAACGTAAAGGTCAAATAAAGGTCGCAGTGACCTGGTTTTGGTACTCTGCACACCTTCTCACCAAGATGTGTAAGTATACCAAGTTTGGTCACGCTAGGTCAATTAGGGGTCGAGTTATAGAGCGGAAGAGAAATTCTCTGCGGCAGACAGAGCGGCGGCGGCGGCTGGGGAGACATGAAGCCATAGTAGCCCCGCCGACTTCGTCGCGGGGGATACAATAACTGGGCAAAAATTCATCTGCAAATCAGTAGATGTAGGGATGATGAACCATGTCAAAACAGAAAACGATGTTCCTGTTTCTTTCTTTCACAAAAACTTAAACATGCAAAACGTACACTATTTACATGGCATGCAGTAGACAATACTGCATCCTCTAAACACTAGAATCTCACACTATATTTTATGCTAATACTTTGTGGAAATTCGTTCCCTTTGTCAATGTGATGTCATCATAGTTATCTGTTTGCTCAACCTCAATTGCTCCTTGCTTTTTCAACACTAATACCATGTAGAATCTGGATGCTGCTTGCTTTCTTGTGTTTTTTCTGGTCATCTCAACAAAACTGACAGCATCCTGAAACAAAAAAGAGGATTCTTTCATTACATTCATATATATATATATATATATATATATACCCGAAGTAGATAATAGGGTCCTATTGTCTACTTCTGATATATACACTACTGTACATAACCTTTCACCATCATCCCCTACAAAAAAGATTTTAGGAAAAATATGGTACCAATAAAAATACTAATAACATTATCATCTCATGCTATAACTGGCTAATGAGTTAATACTCTTCATTATACAGAATACCTAATGCTGACCTTTTTTAAACTGCATTTTATGTTCAATTTTAACAGGTAATGTTTCAACCACATACTGCATAACAAAGTTGGATTTTAAGTTCCCAATCATTTTACATAAAGTCACACCACATTTTCAAAAGCTTTTCATTCTGTCATTAATAACTGATAGCTTTTACTTTTAGAACACATAAACACAGGCACAGGTAACCAGAAGAAGTATTGAGCTTATCCCACCCACACCCACATTTCTGAACATGGTCAAGATCCAACATTGAACAACTCATTTTATGCTACAGACACTGTACCATGATCCACTACCATCAGATTGGGTTGCGTATATTAGATAAGGCCAAGCCAGTTGGTCAACGCAGTGACAATAAACTATTGCCAGCATATCAGTTTTGCTTTTTTACTTACCTTTTTCTTAATGCATCGCATTCAGCGATTTAGTGACACTGCTCGCACATTGGGCTACTATGCTAATGCAGCTTAAAAGCATAATAGGCCCATTGATTATGCAATGTTGACGAATGCTACAGTAACTGGCACCTTGTGTAGTTAATAAGTACATAACCTTACATCCAAATGCGTATTAGCTTGTCCAATATCACTGCTGGTTACATTACAAACAAGACTTGAAATCGGTTGTTGATATTTATCAACGTATCATTTACGTGCTGTAAATGTCATACAGAAGTCAAGCGATGATGTAAAACATTTGTTTGGCCCGTATGTTTTGGACGCCAGATGAAATGGAGGTGCCAGTGGTGTTCCGTGTTTCGTACGTGGATTCCACGTTCATTACAATTATCGCTAGCGTGCTAGCTGAGCGCAATACAGCGGCAAGAGCTTTCAAGCAGCTCAACGGTAACAGCTGGAGTGTGTGGAGATACTGCATGAACGAATGCATGCGTGCGAAAATGTCCGGTACACTATAATCTGTAACACACCCGCTTCGGCGGCTGCGGTTTGAAACTGTAAACAACTGATGAATTTATTTGACCTGGTTGATGGTTCTTAGTAACCAGCAGTGATATTGGACAAGCTAATACATGTAATACGCGTTTGGATGCAAGGTTATGTACTTATAAACTGCACAAGGTGCCAGTTACTCTAGCATTCGTCAACTTTGCATAATCAATGGGCCTATTATGCCGTTAAGGAGGACACTACGTATGGTGCTCACCTGAGATTTAAGAGCTCGCTGAAGAGTATAGAGCATCTGCTGAGACCTCTTGTTCCACCGCCGCTCCTCAAACTGTTCCTCTGCCTCACCCTCCATCTGCACCACCTCTCCTGCATCTTCACCCTGCTAACGAAGGAGCAGTCAGCAACGGTATGTCTCTCTCATCCATGTATCGTTAAAATGTTAGTTAGCGCACAAACATAGATCAACAAACATCAATCATCACATAAAACCGTTTTTAAAACGCAATACTGCAGCACTCTGCAAAATTTGAAATTTACGTAATACCTTTTAATATGCAGTATGAACCAGGCATGATTATTAAATTGTGCACTTAGGAAACTATCTTTCTACGTTTATCAATGGCACTAGACATGTTCCTCGCTTCTTTATGACTATACGACTTCAAAAATGAAGTACGATTACAGGCAATCCTGATTACATACACATAAATATGTACAGCGTGAAAACAAAGGAACCGGCCATTCAATCGGATACATTACGGCTACCAACAGCTGCACCCGTGACACATCGCTACAAATCTACATACCTACTACGATATATAATTGAACAGTGGGCCTGGGTAGGTACTACGGGGATATTTCCCACGGCTTAGGCATAGTTTTCCGTTACCCTACCTGAACACGCAGCTGCCGTACTGACCTCGACACACACGACACACCGATTTCGTACAAGTGCGTACCTGCTGTTGGGCGGGCGACAACACCTTCTCCTCGAGTTCGCGCTCCTCCGGTAGTTCCTCGATCGGGCCAGGTGTGAACGGCGTGACGGGGCCCGGCGTGTACGGATCGTAGTCGAGCGGCGGCTGGTTCTCCTGGTTCTCGTCTGGCTGCACGATCGGCACCATGTCTGGCTGCACGATCGGCACCATGTCTGGCTGCACGATCGGCACCATGTCTGGCTGCACGATCGGCACCATGTCTGGGTGCGCCGCCAGCAGCGCGCTCTCCTCCTTGGTCATCTCCGTGGCAACGGGCGGCTCCACCTCCAACCGTGACTCCGGCTCTTGCACGACGAGAGACTCCTCTGCAGAGGGAACTGTCAAGTGAGATTGTGTCGCGCGTGCGCTAGCAGTGGTTACGCGGTTTACGTAGCTCTAAGGCTCCGATTACTAGAAGTTTGTTGGTTATTTACTGACTGTGTGTTTGTATGCCTGTCCCCTTTCCCAGACTGTTTGGCTCTGTGTCTGCTGATTTCTGTGTGTGTACTCTTATGCGTGTCTCTCACTGTCTATCTATCTGTCACGAGGTTGATTCTACAATAATTAAACAACAACGACATCACAGTTCTACGTTACACTACTATTAAAATGAGAGCAACACGCGTAAGCCATAAGCGTAGCAGCTCCAGCAGCAGGACCAACCTTTGCGCGTCTCCTCGACTTCGCGGTGTACCTCCGGCTCGTCCAGCTCCAGTCTGTCCTCGGCAGGGATCTGATCAAACTCATCCTCGACCACGGGTCTCGTGACCAGGTTGTTTGTGAACAGCTGCAATGTATGCCAATCACATCGCACTCAGATTACTTACACAACAAATGAATATAGTGCTCCCGTAGTTTAAGAGTCCAGCCCCTTGAACGGATTTTGGATTGAAGAGACCATAAAGCACAAATATCGTGAGAAGAACACCTTTTCAACAAAATGAAATTTAGATAGCTGTTGTATTCTCATTAACATCCATTGTTTACTCATTTAGTTTGTCTTTCTGTTGATTTAATTTAGCCTGTCGGCTATTTTTTCCTTCGTTTTCCCTTGTTCCTCCCTACAATTATTTAATAGACAATCACCATTAATGGACCCATCCATTATCAATCCATTAAAAATGGGAAGGGCCATACAAACATGTGCAAATTAGTCCTATAGACAGTTGAATTCAGCTGTTCCTCAAAATCTAACAACGCAAACGCCATATTATCACAGGGGTAGAAATTAACTTTTGAACACGGGAGTCCAACGGACTTCCCTACCCTCAAAAAGAGGGAGTCCGCAGCACAATGAGGGAGCCCGCAGTCTGAAGTTCAAAATTAAAGATATTAACAATAACACATGTGCTTATTTTTAAGATTCATGCCGTTGCACGTCGGCCAAATTTTCTTTGGACTTTTACTGGAAAAATACGGTAAATCCGCGAGGCTGTGCTCTGGAACGAACTAGTTAGAATGGCAGAATTTTCAGGGAGTCACACAGACTCCTGCATATGTCAAATCAGGGAGTCCGAGAGTATATCAGGGAGTATTTGACTCTGGACTCCCGTTAATTTCGCACCCTGTTATCACAACAAGGGTATATACCATGCACATATACTACCACGACCGGCTTTAAAAAATCCAAAGACGATTAGTTCTCCATACACCTAGACACTAATACGTAACACCGCTTTGCAATCATCAGCATCTCGTAACACAATACGTGGCCACAGATATTTCGGCATCGGTGCTGCCAGTGATTGTAACTTACTCGGGATAACACACGTGCATGAAGCGCCCTTCCCGGTAAAGCGAACAGCTTCTCCACACCGCCAGTCTCTTTCCAGTGCATTAGCTTCTTAGTAGGCGGTGCCAGGTCAAGGGTTGTGATGATATCACTCGTGTCAGACAACTGAGCTCGCATGTCGTCGCCGTCGATGCCCTTGATTTCGTCAATGATCAGTTTCCGCTTTCTCTTCACTCGAACTCTCTCGTTGCCTGCAACGAGTAGTCGATAACATTGGGGTCACACTACGAAGGTGAAATCATGTACAAATTCATTTATGTGTAACCCTAACTATAACGCTCTATGGGTAACCCATCAGAATGAACCATACAATAATATTTCACACCAATTACCCAGATTGTTTGTGGAATCAAGTGGTTCTAATGTGAATGCCTCCTCTTCATTCTGTATGAGAGTAGTCTGATCTCCATGTTCCTCCGCTGCCGCCAATTCTTCCTCCGGCGGCTCTTCTAATACTGGCGCTGGGTGTAGCGCTTCCCCATCTGTTGAGTTACCATCATCTGCAGCTGTAGCAAGGGTTCGGGTTAAGCGATGCGCTTCAGACGTAGAACTAAGTATGTACACACAACACTAACCATTTCTAAACACGGTTCACACAACACTTGTACGAGGTACGAGGTAAAATCAATGGCTTTATCATTGCTTTCAATATTGCTATATTTTTAGAAATTAAATGGCTACTACATCTCAATGGAATATTTGCTGCTAGGCTAATATCATATACCACTTGCTAACAAACACAGGCAGGCAAGCAGATGCAAGCATACACACGCACATACATATACAGCACATCGGCTTAGTTTCTCACCTGCTGGAGCCCCGTAACTCTCAGCATCGGACTCGAACCCGCCTCCTACATCCCCGCCGTCAGAACTTGCAGCATCACCAGCACCACCCTGATCCTCTTCCATCGGAGCGTCATCAAATAGGCCGCCACCCTCCTCCATAAAATTTGCATCGCCTAAACACAGAAAAAGAAATGTCATTAAAAAATACAACGTGCAGCATGACAGTCACATTTAACTCTCTGCTTCCATAAAAATAACAACCATAATTCAAAGACTACTATCACACTAGCCTTTACTTTAATTAAACACATACAAGAAACTTCACTAAAAACAGAAAAGCAGAAATGGAAAAGTTGATATCACCTTGATCCAAGTCAAAATTTAAATCAACTGCTAAGTTTTTTATTAAAATTATCTATGTACACAGGATTACACAGATTTCTTAACAAACTAAACAATCATCCGGGAGGAATAAATGGTCCTGCTACACAATCATTCTTCGACACATACCCAGTAGGCCCTCTCCCACTGCTCCTCCAAAACCATCATCTTGCAATGGCTTGTCGAAATCCATTTCCATTTGCTTATCAAGTGATGCATCGGTAACATCTTTCTTAGGAGGCTGAAATGTGATGCAGAATCAAGGTTTACAGTTTGAGTCACGTGTGGCATCCTATAGTAAACAAACCTACAATATATCGATAACCTAATGTATATCAAATACGTGACCTTGATCAAACAGCAGCAAACATGACTGATTGTTCTTGTGCTGTTACATACATTGTTTGCTAGGATAAGGTGTAGTGAGTAACTTGGGGACATTTGATGAAACACCAGTAGTTACTGCTAGTATGTGACGTACTGGCTGTTCCTCCAGCAGCAGGTTAGAAGCATCAGCAGTGTTGAGTAATGTCTGGTCAAGGTGAGAACTTTCACGTAGCATTTCTCTGTCGTCAAACCCCATGTCACCTGCAAGTAACGACAGGTGTTTAAAAATGACAGAAATGTTTATCACAACACTAAGACAAGTGTATTAGTTATTAGTGACACTTGCCGTTCATTATTACGTGTGAGATATTGAATGAAACAATTGCATATAAGTGCTATTATACATATAACATCCACATACCAAAGCCATCATCTCCGACCAATGTTATGTTACCATAGTCCTCTCTAATCGTAATCTCTTCAGCTCTGCTCTGGTTTAGGTTAAACTGTGGTTGTACATCAATATCACTGCGAAATCAAAAAATTGATATGAATTCATGACTTGTATCCTCACTCTCATGTAGGTAGGAAACAACCACGTTTAAATAGTTGCCATAGTTCTTCTCTGTCAAGGCTGTTCAGATTTACTGAAGAAACATAATGAAAGCAGGAATAGAAATGAGTTCAGATGTATTTTTACCTAGACAGGTCTCTAAAAAAAAAAGAAAACGGCTACTTTTTGTGAACTCACATCCAAAATTGATGTGACAATTATTAAGCATTAGGTTAACCAGGGAAAATGATGAGCAAGGTCCCCAATAGATAATTATGGTCAAAGGTTTCCATGTTTTTTTGCACTTTTGGTGTTTCTAAAGGTTAAACAGCGTAACTGCAAAATACTGAGATAATATGTGATAAAAGTTTTGATTTTTAATTTTTTTATCAGGAAAGTGTAGATGCAATATGGACACTCTAAACAAGCTGAAACTGAAAGTATATACCTAAACAGTTTGCTGTGAGATTTTGGTAATTTAATTAATACTGCTTGAAATACCTAGTAAACTTGCAATATATACTTGACATCAAGTCATGGTATCAAATTAGAGATAAAATTTGCAAGCTAAGTCTCAGTGTAATTGAGATAAATAAATTATTCGTGTTCACCACTCACCAATAGTTTCAACTAAGCACTACCACAATAATGCATTGGATACTGGCTTTTTGCCCTGATCACTAGCAATGACAATCTGCCTAATGGTTTTCAGTCACACGAGTTCATTTACTAATGCTGCCTAACCCGAGACATGGGCATATATGACGACACTGCCACTCACGTCAGATCTGCCATGGTGCTGTCAAAGTCATGGAAGACCTCAGGGAGGGTGATTGCTGCAATATTAGCCTCTCGATTCTCTTCTGGTAGATCTACGGCTCCAGGTCGAAATGCCATCTTAATTTTAACAAATGCCTCGTTGCAATCAGCAAGTAAGTACTTGGCCTTACGAGAGTATATCCGCACAACTCCCAGAAGAAGGTGCCCTGACGTACGCAGAGCCATTTTTACCTACAAGTGATAGAGAAAAAGGTGTATATTACATATATACTTGCCATTATACATATATCTCCACATGAATAAGAGGTTTACAGGGGTAGAAATATAGAGAGAAAAAAGATGGTCCACAGGACCACCTAGTTTGAAATTTAGATGGTCCTCCTAAATTTCAAATTGATCTCTAAAAGTAATGCGACTTGCAAGCGTAAGAAAGAGATTTTACACGGTGATAAAATGGTTTAATTATTCACCTACAATGAATGTATCAAACGTTACAGTAATTGTTTATTCACTTTAATAGTATATTGGAACGTGGAAAATTACCGTAAAATGGGACCAAAATATTCAATGTTCCGTCGGACCATTGACTTTGAAAATCTGATGGTCCTCCTGATTATTTGATGGCCCCGGACTATTGGACCATCGCTTATTTCTATTGACATAAGTTGGTTTACCTTTGGCTGAATGATGTTATCAACACTCTGTTCCAGGTTAGTTTCAAAAACATGTGCTTTGGTCAACTTCTTGTCCCAGTGTGCAGCGAGCCACACACGAGCAAGAGGACCTTTCTTACTCAGCACATAATGTGCATAAAACATTGTGACTGGTCAAATATCACTACCTGAAATAAAGGTGTAGACAATTTCTTTAAGATGTTCAGTGAGCATGTAATGATACATAATAATATATACGTGTAAGTGCTATCAATTCCAATTTCGTTTCATCAAACCATAGGCCTACCTATCAGTAACTGTATCAGTATCACTAACTAGTATCAGTAACTTGAGTAAGCGACAGATATTTACGTGTCTCCAGCTGAGCCCGTAGTTCTTACAGATATTCAACTGAATTAAATCGAAAGTACAAGACAGTCATACTGGGATTTACTTCACAACGTGAAGGAAGACTAGAACCTTACTAGGACCTTAGTATTGGTAGGGGTAATTTGAGTTTGAATTTACATTGCGCTGTCGGCCTAAATTACGGCACATTTCTGTTTTTCCAATGGCAGTTTAGACTTTTTCGCGTATATTTTCAGATACATCCTGCAACTTGAAAACCAAAACAAACTTAGGAAAGTAATTATAAATATAGATGTAATTCATAGTAAGTTTATCTTTGTGAAATGCGTTTCGCTCCTAAGTAACATTATCTTTTAAACATTGGACAGAAAAATTCGTTAGATGTCACTGTGCGCCCAGTGCCATGGCATTTGCAAGTTTACATGTAAACAGAGACAAGCGGTTAGGGAGCAGCGTTACATACGTGCCGTGCATTTCATTCACTTTCTATTCTTACAAGCGACCGAACATTTCCAAATAAAAACTAATCATACTGTACTACAAATCTCAAAGAAGGAAATGTGCGACTTTACTTATAATACTTACCAGAAATGTTGTGTACGTCGCTGTGAATTCTTCAGTCAAAAATGTTTCACGGGTACAATAAGATGGCGTCTAGTGTTTTTGGCGCCTAGCCCAAGCCGACCGATTTACCTAGCATTCTTTGATGTTGCGCGGAAGAAAAGTAGTGCGATTGCGACCAGAGTTCGGATAAGTTTGTATATATCAATATAGATGAGTCAGTGACTGTCAGTCAATACATTATCGGTGGTAAATGTGATGCATTTACCATTTAAACACAAATAATGACTCGTGCTAGAGTTGGTTCTGTTCAGTAACAATACCAAACTAGGTGACCAATATCCAAACTACTACAGTACCTACCAAAAGTATCAAAAGTGATGGTATAATTTAATTAATTTTGCTATTGCTCGATCCTTACTAAGAATATAGAAATTTTAATCATCGCTGCGGGAATTAAGCCTGACTGTAATTGATATAGGTGTACCCTTATAGCTGCTCTCCGATATTGCTACTCCTGAATAGCTATTTAGAGTATTGTATGAGTTGCGCCACGAACGTATAAACGAACTAGCGGGATACCGGGCGTTGCCCGGGGAAATCAGTGGCGTTACTCCAACTGAGTACCGTGACCGCTGGATTGAAAAGAAAATACCCAAAAAATCTAACTATCTATTTATCCATGCATCCATCCACCCATCCCATTCCATGCCATCGCATCCCATCGCACCGCATGCCATGCCATGCCATCCCATCCCATCCCACCGCATACCATCCCATCCCATCCCATCCCATGCCATGCCATCCCATGCCATGCCATCCCATGCCATCGCATGCCATCCCATCCCATCCCAAACAGTAAAAAATAATAAGAAATCAAAAGATAAGACATTAAAAATAAAAAATAAAAAGTAAAAATAATACATACTAAAGGGGAAGGGGGAAAAAGGGGAAAATAAGTTCCCCAGCTGGGAGACTTTTTGTTTCAGGTAGAACCACCTCCCAGACGTGCTGATTCTGAAAATATCTTTAGTTTTCCTCTAGGCTGCGGAGTTCTCTAGTTATGCGAGTACGAACTAATTCGACTGAACAACTTTATATATATATAGACATATTCTATATATTTCATATATTGCGACATCAGTAGTAATTAAACAGAACAGGTTACGGCTGGGAGTAGGCGGGGTACGGTCCGCACAGCGCGTTACGCTGATAAGGTCTATGTCTCCCAGGGTACTATCGGAGGGTAACCTGGGTACGGTTCGATATATTAGAAAGTACCTCGGGGTACTATACGATATGTCGCTGCGTATCCTCAGGGGCGTGTACAGGGGGGGGGCAGGGGGTCCGGACCCCCACTGCTCGCACAGAAAACGCATTTAAGGGGGTCTAATTTCAAAATTTTCTGGGGGATGGCCCCCCCACTCTTGATATATCAAGAGTACGTAATAGACTCTATTATGTACTCTTGATATATATACTAGCCGGGTACCCGGCGTTGCTCGGGAAAAAACGCGTAGAAACAACTTTTAGAGCAAATTCAGCTACATATATTTACTTGATTCTAAGGATAGATTCGTAACAGAGAAACAAACAATAAACAATATTCAGACAAAAACGGTTCCACGATTCTATGATTCTGTGTTGTAAAAGCTCTCTGCGACTGCGACTGCGTTTGAGATCCCATACGTCAGTCACGAAGCTGTAGGCCCTACATTGCTTGCATTTCTTACTGTGAGGTGCCCAAAGTCGTGTGATCAGTGTATCGTATATAATACTAGTAGTCCAAGCATTTCGTGAAAAAAATGGGGTCAACCTCGGACAAATTGCAACAGAAAATCTGTCAACTGTTTTATACCCAGAAATATGTCCTCTATAACATATCAAAACTCTTAAGGAATCCTGGTGGTGGAAGGTTCCATGGCGGCCATTTTCAACTGATATTTCCCTATATCTCCGCTTCTAAATAACATAGAGCTTTGATTTTAAGTGCTAAACATACATTTTCAGGGACAAGGAATCCAATGACACACATTTCAATAAGCTAAACCTGACCAAAAAGCCGAAATAGCAGCCAAAACCACATGTCATGGTGCCTGTCACACAACGTGCATCTATTCCACACTGAAGTTCGTGTGTGACAGTGAGCATGCTCGTCGCCATGGTGTTACGCCCATCCTCACCTTTGACCAACCACTATGGTGGAAAGCCCTCATGATCATCGAGACTGAGCCCACAGGAAGTGTCTTGAATGACATAGTCTTGCGCCTGGGGGGGGGGCTTTCACACAGAAATGAGTTTCTTGGTAAGCATCGGGCACCTCATGGCTGGATCAGGACTGCAGGAATTCTTGTAGCTAATCTATGCAGACAACGCGGTGGTACATATGATGACAGACAAGGCTATTGCACGAGCAGTACGAGGACATCTCCTTGTTGATGCAGCACTGAATGCCTTGATTTTGCCAGACGTACTTGGTGTGTCACTCCCTCAACCATCTGCAGAGCCACATGAAGTGGAGGAGACCAATGAGGCAACAGTCTCACCAGATGATGAGCCTACGACAGACGAAACTGGAAACACTGATCTTGATGAACTTGCTGCCCTCTACAAGAACCTGATGGAAGGTTCCGTGTCTGCAGAGGAGTTCTGCCAAGCTGATGTGTTAATCAGGACCAAGAAGCTCCTCAGGGCCAAAACCGAATCATTGAAGTCCTCTAGGACTGCCACACTTTGGCTACAGTACATGGAGATGGTGGGCATACTACGGAAGTTGTCAGAGCAGAGCGCATTGGCAACTGGGCGTTGCACCTTGAAGCTGTGTCAGAAATGCTGCCCTACCTGACAGCCTCTGGGCACAACCTCTACACCAAATCAGCCCGCCTCTATGTGCAGCGGATGAGCAAGCTCAAGGATGATCATCCAGATGTGTACCAACGATTCGAAGAAGGGTTCCATGTTGTCAGAAGAAGTGATCGCCTATGGGCTGGTCTGTCCGTAGATCTCACCATCGAACAGGTCCTGATGAAGAGTATGAAGACCAGCGGCGGCTTGACGAGAGGTCGAGGCATGACAGAGCAACAGCATCTCATATGGCTGCTCTCCATGCCTGCCTGTGCTGAAGTCAACAATGCTATGCAGCAGCTCACATGTGTCAACTACAACACTGGTGAACAAAACAAGGACATGACAAATGCTAGACAAGCACGTGACATGAAAGACACACATGCAGTTATCAGCTATCTGCAAGAGAGAACACCCTTCAGCTCAGATCCCAGCTTGCGCAGCATCTCGACAGGGGTGCATGCAGCCAGCACAGTCAGTGTGGACTCAGCAAAAACTGTTGGAACAGCTATCCTGACCAACATGGATAGACAAACTGCTGCTGACTACACATTCAAGAGGAAGGATCAGGCCATAACCTTGGCTGAAAAATCGGCAGTAAAGATTGATGGTGAGGCAGTACAGGTGGATCCCAAGCTGCTTTTCCAGCGACTGACAATTGCTGCAAAAGCTACAGAGGATCTGGAGTCTGTGTTCAAAACTTCAAATATGAGCTGTGCAGTTACCCACCAGCTCTGTTTGATTTCACACTGCTGCTCCGACAGCCACAGAAGCCAGTGCTAGCAGATGCTATCTGGACACTCCTGACACACGATGCACCAGGAATCACAGGCACTAGTCCACGCATTCTATGGGAACGTGGCTCAATATATACAAAGGTACCTGCACGCAATACACAGAGTATGTCACAAAGAAGTATGGACAGGCAACATTCGTGTTTGATGGCTATGATCGTACATCAACAAAGGACACAACACACCAGAGACGTACGAGAGGGAATGCTGGAGCAACGGTAACGTTTGATAAAGATATGCAGGTCACAATGAAGAAAGAACAATTCCTGGCAAACAAAACAAACAAGCAGCGCTTCATCAACATGCTCAGCACCAAACTACGGGCACAGAACTGCCAGACACATCATTCTGCAGGTGACGCTGATCTCCTCATAGTGCAGAAGGCAGTGGAGTCTGCAGCCACCACTGATACTGTACTGATCGGAGATGACACAGATCTGCGCATCCTGCTCATCTACCACACCAACCTCAAGTCATGTGACCTGTTCTTCCAACCCGAACTCCATATAATATTGTATGGGGTCCTGGCAACGTTGAAATAACGTTAGTTAATGTATTCACAATAACGTGATTATAACGTGGATTTTCTACTGAAACGTAATTTGTGTTTGTGTGCGTGCGTGCGTACATATATATACTGTATATATATGTATATCAATGGAAAACAAACATAATAACAAAATCAGTGTTTACGCGAGCTGAGCATATATACACGTAGTGGAATTGATTTTAAGACATATAGAAACTGCTGCATGCAATCAAGCCACAGTTCCGAAAAGTAAAATACGTTTAATCCAGTTTAAAAATATTACTTACAATGAATAAAAGCGACATGATTTACAATATTTTTTA